CCTTCTTTAGTGATTTCAAGATCCATGTAAGTATCAATGTGAATTCATCTTTTTCCGATTGCTTTTCCATCTCAGAATGCAAATAGGTCTGGAACTTTACAACATCTGTAATTTTAAGGGATGAACTTTCTTTTAAAGACCTTGCAAATTCCTTCTCACTTTTTGATTTTCCACTTAGAACTAAGACAACAGGTCGTTGGGACTCCATGTTTGCTATAAAAAATCACGATCCAGTTAGTATACACATATCATAAACACTGGATTCTACAATCTTAGATGATAGTGATACTTAAATTCTAATACTTAAATTGGTGTGTTTAAGAATTTGTAGGTCCCACATGAAGGAACAATGTGTGATCTGTTAAGGTCGGATCCAGATGATAGATGCGGGTAGGGGTTTTCTCTCACATGGGATTGGGTACACATTCGGACAAGACATCGCGTCTCACTTCAACTATACAAATGGGCTTACTCTCATCTCCAGAGCTCACCAGCTTTCATGGAGGGTTTCAACTGGTGTCATGTTGTAACACCGAAAATTTAAACCAAATTTTTCAATTTTTATAAAACATAATTCCATCAATATTCATTAAAACAGCCATTTTAATTGTCCAACAAAACAATACAAATCCCAAGATCATAACGTCAAACTCCAAACGTGTGTGTGTACGGATCAAGCCGGCGCCTTCCCGCGGTCGTCACTAGTACCTGAAACAAATAACATCAACACTGTAAGCACAAGGCTTAGTGAGTTCCCCAAAATACCACATATAACACATATTAGCCACTCTAGGCTATAACTCTGTGGGTCCGTGCACCCAAACTCTGTGAACCCTCAGGTTCTAACTCTGATAAACATGCACCACATAAATCACATAGAAATCATGCAGTACAACACATAACATACATAGCATACAAATACTCTATCACATAGCTCTGGTTACCTACTCAAGGTAAAGTATAGTGAGAAGACTCACCTCGCGTGTCTCGGTAAATCGTAAACCTGAAATCGCTAATCACTCGATCTGCCGAGCTGTAGTCCCCCCCCCCCTATAGCACAATACATCTCTAATTAACACTTTCCCAACTAGGATTGACCACACTATAACAAGTCAATCTGGTCAACGCTGGTCAACGGTCAACTTTGACCGGACTCGGCGAGTGCGCTATAGCGACTCGGCGAGTCTGAGCGCATGCACCAATTTCCCTGGAACCCTCCCCTGACACGTCGAGCATTTCCCTCAACTCGACGAGTTCCACCTGGCACGAGTTGTGGGGCCACCACGACTCAACTCGCCGAGTCTCAAGAACAACTCGGCGAGTCCAGTTTGACTCAGTCCACCTGTCCATCCTGACTCCCCCTTGACTCACTGAGTTCACCCTTCCCAACTCGGCGAGGCCACTCACTGTGTGGTCGGGCAACATTCATGCTACTCGCCGAGTCTGTTCTTCGGACTCGGCGAGTCCGTGCCATGCACTGACTCAATCTTGCTCTAAAGGTCAGATCCAGTCCATTAATCCATAGATCCAGTCCCTCCAAGCTCATTTAGCACGTAAAGTTACAATCTTGATCCACATACAACCTCTATATGACCATATATGATGTTTTTGACTCAAATACTACAACACAAGGTCAAATACTCCATTGTCACCCATAAAGCTTGATGAGTGAGGCCCTCTGGACCTCTATGGGTCCAGATCCATGGCCTCAACTCAAAGAGGGAACCAATGGGCACCAAATCATCCCATAAATGACCACACTAAGCCCTAAATTGCATCAAGCTTCACTAAACAGAAAATGGTCCGAGATAATACCTCTAGAGTGATGATCTAAGCTCCAAATCCACGAA